ACAAACTGTTAATATTCAAACATGCATATTTTCAAACTTTTTAAAAATAAATAATGAATTATGAAGTTTCAATCTTATAAATCAATAAGTTTCTTTGTTGTTCAGCTATTTGTGTTATTCCCAACGCGTGCATCGAACCCCAATTTTTAGCGTTACAAGCTCTCAGACTTACCACTGAGTCACTGTGTGAGGGAGGGGCAAGCCAATAAGAATATTCATTACATATATCACTGATCTTGGAGCATCGAGAACAGAAAGTCATGAATAATTCGATAATTTAATGTTTAAGTTCATTGAAATGTTTTAGTGAAATTTCACAACACTTTCAACTCAACAAATTATATTAAGTTGTCATAACTGTATCAACAAAAAATGCATAGGTTAAGCAATCTTCATTGGCTGGTTTATTACTTTTATGGCAAAACTTCTAAATTAGGTTCTTATAAAAAACCCAATTCCCCACTAACGTTATACAGTTAAAAATAACTAAAATATTCCTAACTTTTTAGGCTGACATATCTTCAAAACATACTGAAGTTTAGGGTGGGAGCGCCACGTGAAGCTAACAGTAAACAGATGCTGACATTTCAATTCCTCCCGGGCCTCCACAACAGCCAGTTGGGGTGGTGTATATGTTGTTCTTTAGTACACTGATACCGTGACCCACTTCCTATAATAAACAGCTAATGAGGTTTTTAACAATTCTAAAACACTCAGAAAAGCTGCATGTAGTAGTGGGTAATTTGTTTGGCAAACCTGAACATATTAATGAACTGAATTTTTAACATACTGCTTAGGATAATATGAGTCAACGTCTAACGAAAGGTTATCAAATGATAATATAAAATATTTAACTAATGTATAAAACATTAAATACGTGTTACAATTTAAACTAACAAAAAGCCCCAAACAATAATTACTGTACCAGTTTTTAGAAGTTTTGGTTATTATATCTTTAGAAGATCCCTTCTAAATAAGTTGTACAAACGAATTGTACAGCGAACGAAATAAAAAACAGCAACATTATTCTGGAGTTTATGGTCATAACATAATGTGTTAAACATACTACATTAGGCACTTCGCCAAGTTAGTTTTGTCAAATAACAAAACCTAACACTAAAAAAACATTCAATCGGGAAATTTTAGGCAAATCGAGATCTATGATCTTCAGATCTTGATAACAAATACAACAACTGCCAAGCTATGCATAAAACAACCTCAATCTTACCCATTATCTTATTCAATAAAAGCTTAAATAAGTATAATTTTATTTAAAATTAAAACACATCACGAAATGACACGCCCAACCGTTTATTTGATTTTTCGTGTAAAATTTTTGCACAAAGTTACACAAATATTGTATGATGTGCATAGCTGTCCCTAATTTCAAACTGATAGACTAGAAAAATGGAAGCTTGTCAACAGCAGCCACCATTAATTTTTGGACCACTCTTGTTGTATAACTGGATAGTGTAATCTGATCACCTCTGGTATAGTGCACTCACAGTCCCAAGTTTCTAGTGTTGTAAGTCTGCAGAAATACTGCTGTGAAACTGGGGAGCATCAGAAATAGGGGGAAAAATAACATAAAGTAGGGATCATTGGATATTTGTGGAATTGCTATAAGAAGTATCCAAGTAGATTTTAAAACCTATCCAACTAGCATCACTTTACTTGTTTGTGTACTTTTTATTGCAGCATTTATTTTGTTCTGGTTACTTCTTATAGCAATTCTAAGAATAACCAACGATCACTACTTTCCGTTAAAATTTTAATTTTTTTTTTCATATTTATTTGTTCATGAAATGTACACAACATCTATAAACTTTCAGTATAGCCATATTCCTTATACCTACAAATTCTACAAGAATTAAAACCACAATCACAAATTGATAAAATGTAATCCTTACTTTGGCCTACAGATAAATGTATAAAGCTGCCAAAGTAGAGATTTAATTTTGTAAATTTGGGATTGTAGTTTTAATTCTTGTTTCATTACTTTTTGTAGCAGGATCCCTACTTCATTTTAAAATTCAAATTATTTTGATACTCTTGTTTATTTGTTTTTTATGTTATACCTGTATACAATATATACTTTACTTTTAGTAACTGTCAGTGTATCCACCGATATGTAGTACCATCTGTTGGGTTGAAAAGATATTTAAGTACACGCACGACATGTTTACCATTTATAAAAAATATGTTTATATTTAGCGGAGTATCAAAAGCTGATACCCACAGACCAGTCAAGTAAGCTAAAGAAATCTTCTAGCAATAGTCCGAGACGTCTAGGGGCTAGCCCCACTGACGTGATCATGTAGGTAGGTAGTAGATGAAAAAGTTGCTATTTTAGAAATTTTTGAATTGTTATAGCTACATTTTTAGCATAAGTATATATGTGCATAATATATCGTAACCAATACTTTGAATGGTTGGTTTTTCGCTTAGAAATTCAATAGGGTGTTTTTTCAGAGCGTGAATTATTTGGAAACTTTGTCGATCCCAACTATTAAGTACAGTAGTACTTAAATAAATATTTATTGTCGAAAATCAAAACAACTTGGTAGACGCTACAGAATTTATTGTTAATCGTAAGGCTGAACAGTGGGCTGTTTATTCTGTGCCAACTGCATTGATTGTACCCTAAATTTTAGCGTTATAAGCCCTCAGGCTTACTTATGAGCCAGCGGTAGGCAGGTAGCTAATAAGTCCATTGCGTATTTTTTTAAAAGTGTAATCAAACTACAGTTTGTCCTTATACATATTGTTACGCCTCTGTCTTCGTTTGTTAATTTTCCGTAAAAATTCTTTCCAAAGAAACTTTAGCGATACAAGTCCTTTCTTAAATAAAACTAGTTTATTCTTTCTCAATACAACTTTGCAATACACTTAATTTCCACAGTCACGCTATAACTTCAACAAACGATTCATGCACTTAACTCAATTGTCCGTCTCTGTCTGCAATTCAATTCCATTGTTGCCGTCACTTCTTACCGGTCTCATATATACAAAAAGCGTACATCTCGTTTCTTAGTGAATCTTCTAGACGTGTTACCAGAGTCACGTGACTACCGCTGTCGTAACAATATTCTATCAAATTTAGTTCTGGTAATAGCAAATGCTGCAAGGCCAATTCAATTTTAGAGACGATCTTGTTTTGAGTATTAAGTTAGAAATAAAATGATTTTTTTCTTCTAAACTTTATAAAGGAATCTAAAGCATATAAAGATCAATTCCGTGACATTTGATCTGATATTAAGATTTCTCAGCTGATTGGCCTAACATCTGTGATAAAAAAATCACGTGAACTTCAGATTTTTTTTTCGACACTCTTTTTGTCTCGGCACAAAGCTACACAATAGGTTATCTACGCTATGTAAACAACGAGTAACCGAACTCTGGAATGTAGCGTTGTAAGTCCATAGACTCACTGATGATCCGCTGGGGACGAAATTCTTTAAAAATTTTCCGTTTCGGATTTCGAATTAGAAATGTTTAACAATAGTATTTCTGATCTATATTTTGCCTCCAACAAAGAATACATACTTTCAATATTGGAACTTATCAATTGGGTTGTACGATGACAGAAAAACGTGATCTTAAATACTATTTATATATGCAGCGAGTAGAGCACTTTAAAAGTTACCGTAGGTAGATCTAAAACTGTATTTTTACACGCTACATACTCTGAATCCGAATTGATAAATTTAAAAAAAATCTCGAAAACAAATCTCGTTTTCGTAATTTCCTGGGCCAATGGTTCGCACCCCCCCCCCCTTTCAGCATTTATCAAAATAAGTAACCCGATTATTAGATAAAACACTTATCTTCCTGGTTATGGTTTCAATTTATCTATCAGCATTTCCAATGACTAATACAATTGCATCTATAAATACAGCTTATTTCATACAGCTGCAGTACTGTGGCGTTTGATATTCCATGAAACAATACAGGTTTTAATTATTATTTTTTACGCTATTAGTACCATGTATTAGTAAAATATATGTTCTTTTCTTATCATTCTATGGTTATATTTCGGATGAAAGCACGTGATCTACTATAACAAATTGTTTTAAAACTTTTGATTTATGTAATGCCGACTGGAGTACAGTATACATAATTACAGACAAATAAAAATGGCCATAAACTCCATAGAATTTTACAAGTCGTGTTATATGTGCTACGTTTCGACTTTATGCTTTCGTCAGCAGCATACAATTTCCGACCCCCAACTGAATGTTAAAGGGGTAGACCACAAAACAGTTCTTAACTAAATCTACGAAATTAATATTCATTTTGATTCTTGGATAATTATTTTATCAATGACCAAAAGTTATTGTATTAGACGTGTGTAAAAAATTTGTCGTCTTTCAGAAAAACAAACACAATCTACATCACATGAATATGACATTATTTAATCTCATCATGCTCATATCAAATGTTTCCTTTTTAAATAATAAGTAATTTTGAAATGAAATAAAAAAAAAAGTGTAACATTTAGTAATAATTGTAGCAGGATCACTAAACTACCATAACAATAAATGACTCTACATCAGGCAAAAAATAGTTTATTTTCACCAATAAGCTGTATACAAGGGATTCTTTGCTGTTTAAATGTGTTTTTGATGTAGTATTAGTCCTAGAATCTATTTTAATCAATCATATAGCACTAGTAGTGCCATTCAAAGTTATTAAATTGGCATTAGTGTTTATTAATTTCTGAAACAGCGTAATATTAATAGTTAAGGTTAGCTTGAGGTCAGTGTATACATCAGATTTTTTTCTTTTTTGAGCTTTAATTTGCATATATTATCAGAATCAGTCCACGACACAACACAAAGAAATGACTGATAACGTAATAACTGGTACATCTATAACAATTCCTTTGACAAATTGATGTTGAGAACACCTAATAAGTACAATGAAATGACACAGTGCTACTGCTACCATTGTGCTATAGGCTATTACATTTAAAATATTTTATTATTGACAATAATGACTAAACTATTTCAAAACATGCTTAGAATACTACCAAAAAATCAGAAGTAACTTGCATTGAAAACAAACCTATGTTAAGGACAATAGGGAGTAGTAGATATTTTTTTGGTATCACAAATTTACATGTGCTGATCATGGTGGGGTTAATAGTTATAAGTACGTCAAGATGGGCAATTTTTAAAATTATAATTTTTGCTTATTTCACAAAAATCACAGCTCCGAGACGAGTAACCAAATCAGTGAGTCTGAATCAATGTCTTTCAACTAAATGAACAGCAGAAAATAATTGTATATTTCAACATACACCAAAAAATACTATACAAATACACTGCATGCAATGGAGACAAAAATATATGCACACAGAGCCAATAGATTGTCCAAAAAACACAAACTCTTGTTATCATGATTAGAGATCGATCTACCGGTTGTACTTTAATCACAGAAACAAAAAATGATAGAAGACGATTCGACAAGGTGTTACATATAAATACACTGAGCAAGAACTTACTTCACATTTCCACTGACAGGGGAAAAGTACTTCAAGCAGGTAGCAGTTTACACAACACCCGGTTATATAATTAATTTGATTCACAAAACTTTGAAAGAAATACTCAAAAACATAATTTTATTACTAGCTGGATTCAGACCACTTGTAGTTCCATGAAGGCCTGAAACTAGCATGTCTTTATGTAAGAAACTATATATATATGAATACTCCTCTTGTTTATAGGTATCATAAAAACAATCCCTGCTTTACTTCTCAAACTTAAGATACAACTTTAGTTTATCCTTCCAACAAGCTGTAAAACATGAATATGCACGTGTTGAGTAGTGGCAGGAAATGGCGATGTGTTTGAGAACCATGACCGATCTTCTTGAGGTATGATATACAAACTGTTTAAAACAAACACGGATTCACATAACTACATGCAACTTTTAACTTAGTTTACAGTCTACATTATTTTTCATACAACAATCTAGACTGTGACTGGAGGCTTAATCTCCTTGTTGACGACATAAAATCGATACTTATTGCCAAAAAATCCCCAGATCACGGCTATATTTTCAATTATAATATTGAAAGGAATGGTGCATAATGCTCCCACCACAAAGAACACAAATTTAAAGAACCCCAAGCGATAGAGGCTGAATGATTTGATCACACCAAAGATATACATGTAAATGTTCATGGCACCAACAAAGGCACAAATCACGTTTAGTACTTGCCAGCAAGGTATAGGATAAAGGCCTGCCAAGACCAAATTGGATGTACTCAGTGGGACAGTAATCCAAGAATACAGAGACAATGACAAGAAGATCTTGTTGCGGAATGGAATGGCCGGACTGTGCACGACTAGAAAGATACCTTGCATCCAACGCTTCCTCTGCTGCAAGAAGTCCCAAAAGCTGAAAGGACTTTTCTCCCACATCTCACCCTGGATAAAATCAAATGTATAACCTTCCTTGTATGCCATCATGGCAAAAAAGCAGTCTTCAGCTACAGATCCATCAAGACCATTATCAAAAGATACCTTTCGTTCAGCTCCAGCTTGAGTGACCACGTAAGACCCCTTCCACCCAAAAAGAGGACGATGGTAAGTTTGTAACTGGAATCTCAACTTTCCCATGTCATCAGCTACTCGGAAACAATCGGCTAAAGTCGTCACCCAATTAACAACGTTCTCATTGGCGTAAGTTATTAGGCCTTGGCCAAACTTGTGGGTGCCATCAAAGACAAAGTTCATAATTCCTCTCAATGAGTTTTCTGTCAGCAGTGTTTCCTCGTCTAAATGAACAATCCAATCAGTATCACTGAGAATGTTAACATCATCTTCTAAGCAGTACTGGAGAGCTCGAGCTTTGTACAGCGCTCCACTCTTGGACCTGTAGGTAGAGGGCACTACCAGTTCTCGGATGCGGGGATGCTTTGGTAAGTTAACAGGCTTGTCACTGACCACTTCTATCATAAAATTTTCCATGCCAATATCAAAACAAATATTCATGTTTCTAGTCACATTAGTCTTAACCAGTTCTGGGTAATCCCCTCGAGTTACTGTTCTTACACAAATGAAAGGTGCTAGCAATGGCGATCCTTTTAGCTGCACTTTATCAGGAAAGGCGTTATACACTACAAGTCCCAAAAAATTAAAAACACACTGTGGTAATGCTAATAAGGTCAAAATACGAAGAAGATACAAGATAGACGATCCTATGTATCCATATTTCTGTATGGGATCAATGTTATCAAATTCGAATGTCCACAGGTGAATTCCACCAGTAAATATTTCAAAAGTTATGATTACAGCAAAACAAAGAAAACAGTGCAGCAAGTGTTTTGTTCTACTATTCAAAATCATGGTTCTTGCCTGAATGCAATTCCAGCTCATTTAGTCAGGCCTCTTGAAGTTACAGTTGGTTTCTGTGGTGTAAGGATATTCTTGAAGTAACTTTACACTTTCAGGGATACTGTACCTGAAAGTTAAGATATCAAGTTTTGAGTAATTAATTTGTTTGTTTTTTTAATTAAAAAACAACAAAATGAAAATATTAATACACTGAAAAATAAATTTTGCAAGAAGTGAGAAATAACATTCACATACTTTTTACAATTTAGGTTATGTCACTGTTATTGCAGAAAACTGCTTATTTAAGAAAAATAAATAAACAAGTAATTTATCTATAAGTTTTGCTACCTACAAAAAACCTAAATTTCCTAAATTGTTTGAACCTTCCAAGATATTATTGGGATTATGGTCAAAGATACCACTAGCAGCGAGGGCACCCAACTGATGAATCAATACATCCTAAGTTGTTTGAACCTTCCAAGATATTATTGGGATTATGGCCAAAGATACCACTAGCAGCGAGGGCACCCAACTGATGAATCAATACATCCTAAGTTGTTTGAACCTTCCAAGATATTATTGGGATTATGGCCAAAGATACCACTAGCAGCGAGGGCACCCAACTGATGAATCAATACATCCTAAGTTGTTTGAACCTTCCAAGATATTATTGGGATTATGGCCAAAGATATCACTAGCAGCGAGGGCACCCAACTGATGAATCAATACATTCAAATCATTATATGTTAAAACAGCATATTAAATTAACTATATTAATTATTGGGTTAACATTTTATTCTTATTTACATAGGTAGCTTGCTTTAACTAGAAGTCAATGATAATTCACTTCAAACCATTTTGCACACACACACACACATAGTATAACTTGGTTTACATACTGTGACCTACAAAATAAATATATATTTAAGTGTTTTAATAGCTTCCAACATTTATTTTTCATGTTTAACATTTGAGTTTGATTCTGGTTTTATTATTTTAGAATTAAAATCATTATAAAATATACTTATCTGTATGTATAGTAGGCTTACTCATTCACTTTGATAATTAAACTAAACTTTCCCTCATCCTTTTCTCCATCATTTCATGACATCACACTTAGATTTACAAGATTATTTATCTAATAATATCTGATAATGATACTATTTCATCTGACAAACGATCACCAAATTTTAAGAAACAAGGGTGAAATTTATCTGAATTATATATGTATGTGTAATAAACTACAATATGAAAGTTGAAACAGAAGGCATGATTCAGAAGTGTACGCGTTCACAGCTAAAATGCCAGAATCAACCACTAAAAAATTAATCAATGGCCAGAAAGGGGTTTTGACAGGTAACAAAAGGGTTAGACAGTCTCCAGGATCTACCCTAGATACAGGTAACAAAAGGGTTAGACAGTCTCCAGGATCTACCCTAGATACAGGTAACAAAAGGGTTAGACAGTCTCTAGGATCTACCCTAGATACAGGTAACAAAAGGGTTAGACAGTCTCTAGGATCTACCCTAGATACAGGTAACAAAAGGGTTAGACAGTCTCTAGGATATACCCTAGATAGTCAAAATAAATGGATAATAAAAGTGTAGGATCTGTGAAGTTCCCGATACACTGACAGAGAGCATTACAATGTAAATAAACCAGGATGTTCTTCTAAAACAGTTATAAAAATATTTCTCTATCTTTTGAAATGCCCTAAAAAATAAAATTCTCTTCATGTTACCAGAGTGAGAACACTTTGCACAGATACAATACCTTAACACAAGGATAAGCTACAGATAAAAAGTAAAATATGACAGGAAACATAAAAACAAAAAAAGATTAAAGTCAATAAGTACTTCACAACACTGTTAAATTACAACATGGATTTAATGATAAAAAAAATAACATAACGTTTTAGGACAACATGTGACCTCTGGGCTGTTCCATCCTCTGAACTTAATTAAAATGATTATATATATATATATATATATATAGAGAGAGAGAGAGAGAGAGAGAGAGAGA